AGCAGTCGACTGAGCTTCTGGACACTGTTGACATAGAGCCTCCTTTTGGCACAGTACAGTTTACAGCAGCATTTATGGATGTAACTACATATTGTAGTGCCTGACACAGGTGAGCCAAAGTCATCCTGAGCCCATGTGGTTATATTGCTTATAGAAGAGTGATGGTTCTTGATGCGGTGCCATCTGAGGGATCAGAGAGCATGGTCATCCAGCTTAGGCTTGTGCACTTGATGCACTGAAATCCCTCCAGATTCCTTAAATCTTTTAATGATGTTCTGCACTGTAGAGGGTGACATATCCAAATCCCTTCCTATCCTTCTATGAGGAACATTGTTTTTAAACATTTCAATCATTTCCTCACACATATGTTGGCAAACTGGTGGTCCTTGGCCCATCTTTGTTCCTAAAGGTCTCGGCCTTTCCTGGACACCTCTGTTGTACCACATCATCATTGTAGTCACCTGTTGACATCACCTGTTTGAAGTGGAAGCATCATTTCATTCTTTTACCTCATTACTGGCCCTGAAATGCAGCTGTCCCAACTTTTTTTTGGAATGTGTTGCAGCATCAAAATTGAAGAAGTTTATTTTGAACATAGAATAAAATTGAATCAATATCACATCAAATAATGTGCTGCTATGTTGTTTTCAATATAATACAGGACACAGATAATTTAAAAATCACTATTTTCAGTTAAAATTTTGATTTTACATACTGTCCCTTCTTTTTCTGATTTGGAGTTGTAGACAGTAGAAACAAGGTCTGAAAACTTGACACATAAAAGAAATGTTCTGATGAGGTCTACACACATGCTGCATCTTTTAAAACACTGAATGACCTGACCATATGAACTCTTTCTGAACATGAAGCAGCATTGACAACAAACAACTGTGAGGCTCTGCGCTGTAACGTGAGCTTTTGTTCCTAAATGTGTCCAAGTCATTGTGTTCATTTTTGTGCCTAATCATAACGAAGATGTTTGTGCACTAAGACATAATGAAACTGTGATGATTCACACTTAGGACAGTTTCCAAGACAATGGAGTTTCAGTAGTTTGGTGCCAGCTAGCCATCATATTTATGGCTGTTTCCATGATGACAAAGGTCCATAAAGCTTGGTAGTGTGCTATTTAAAGAGACACCCCTAAGGGTTGTATGAGAGGGAAGGGACAAACAACCACATGGGTCGTACAGGTTGGAGGACTTGTTGAGAAAACAGGGTTCCCTAAAATTCACACCTAACTTAAAGACATGAGACAACAACTAAGTCTCCTAAATGCTGATTTATTATCTTCACTGAATACCCTTCAGCTTCATAGCAGTTTCTAATCTTTCTCGGTTCCACACATAAAAAAAAACACCAATACAATTACAAAAGCAAGATACAAACAAAACAAACACAAAACAATTAAAAACAGATTAAACAAAGCAACTGATTTTCATGCATCACTTCGATAAATAATAATAGGTAAAATCAATACGAGTTTGCCGAAGAGAAAACACATACTGTAACTGACATCTAATAACTATGACAACATAAGCAGCAGCACCTTTTGCATATTACCTGCTTATTTGTGACCTTCTTGTTTACAGTTGTATGCTCTATGAGCATCTCAGTTATATGTGCTTGAAAAATACAAACAAATATAGATTTTCTTTTATAATAAACTCAAGACCTTACATCTACATGTGATGAAAACTAAAATGCATGCATCTAAACATTTGCTAAGATCAGGATCATATACAGTAGCAGTTCATGGCCTCTGATTACAGCAGATTGTCACAGCTGGTGGTGGCAGCCATGGCAATTCACACTCTGCTTATAATGAACGAATAAGAAATTGGGCTGTATACTTCCTTTACTGGTGAGAGAAAAATGCTATATTGTGTTGTTATGCTGATTAAAATAGTGCAAAGCAATCTACCACAAGCCAGCTTAGCACTGCTCCTGTGACAGGGTATTTAAAAGACTAGTGAACTGCAAGAAAGCTCAATTACATCCTCCCAGCATGTACTGCATAAATCACGCTAAATCCTCTTTCAAACCTGTCTTTCGGAAGTTACTAAAATGCTACAGCAGAAAACACGGAGGCAGCTGCATCAGTGTAACTCTGAGGAGGAGAGTTTAGGAAAAAATGCAGAGTAATGCCAAGTTCTAAGAAAGCAACTTCCTGTTTGCAGAACTGTACAGTTTCAGAGAGCTGAAATTATGCTGTGTCCGTGCAGCGTCACTGCCACTACTGCTGACATTTAAACAGAAGAAAACTGATTAAAGCAGAATCAAACATATGGACGTAATTTAAAACGTCCAAGCAGACGTGCTCTGCCATAATGACCAGATGGTACAAAGAACAAACAGGAGATTCAAGACAGGATTTTTGATATTGCCATTTATGTGAATATTGCCCCTTTATTTTTATATAAATACATAATGCACAAACAAGTAACTGAAAAGCCAGCTGGATATCAGATAAACATCTGAAAGCTGCCACATTAGAATATTGGAGCTTTTGGTGCACTCTCATGCTGAGTTTCAAACTCATGTTTACATTGCCACATTTTTATGACTGTATATGAATTGCAGAATGGTCAGGACAAAAGGGCCTAAATTTCCGCATCTCTAAAGCAGCTATTGATAAAGCGATCTATTCTTTAAGGATAGTTTTTGTATTGAAATGTCACATTCTGGCATATCCAAATGTCAACTCCCAAGGTTGCCCCGCCATCTGTGTAGCCTTAGCGGTGCTTTTGAAAAAATAGCTTTTTTTTTGCTTAATATTGAAATGAATTTTTGCAACAGCACTAAATCAAAGTGTTAAATAGTGCATCCAGAAGATGCCAAAAGGTTGCTCTGCTATAAACACCACAAATGAACTGCCTTTCATCCATTTCGTACTGTAAGTGTTTGAGAAAATAGTTATTGATGTTTTTTGGCCTTGCAAAGACGAAATGTGACTGGCATTTGTAGGGGAGATATAAAGGGCATTATAATATGATGGATGGGCCAGTTGAGATATAACTGCAGATGCTGATAAGATAGCAGAACAGCAAAGCAGAGTCTCTACATTTTCTCAGATCAAACATGCGACTGGAGAAGGCTATGACAGGTGTCTCTGACAGCCCTGCGCTGCCTGTCCTCAGTGTCACCTATCAGCAGCACTATCTGATTAAAACTGGCCATCCACAGTCTCGCTTAGGCTTAGGTACAAGCCCTCATTCTTTCTCTCCCGATCACCTGATCATACGTGCATGCAAACTCTCTCTCTCTCTCTCACACACACACACACACGATTGCTGAGAGGGACAGGAGTGGGGGCATACAGTACCTTGCGTGTTGACTGGGTTGGTGGTGGGTGTGGGGATAGTAGTGGGAGCATCTAGATGAAAAGAGTAAAAAAAAAAATAAAGAACATTTTTAAGAAATAAAGGAAGACAAAAGTAAGGAAATAGACAAAAGTCACTGAAGATGAGAAGCTGTACTATATTACCATGCACATCTTTTTGCTACTGTGGCTGAATTAGTTTTTAGGAGTCCATGCTAACACCTGTGGGTGTACTTAATAGGTTCACATCTTTTTACCAGTCTATCCCGTTGCTTGTTAATTTTCATACTGGCCCTTAAGAACTTTCCTCTGTAAGTGATGGGGGGTGGAGGCAAAGTCATCAGTCCTTGTTTTGTGCAAAACAAAATTATATTGTATGTAAAGCTAACAGGAAGAGAGAACTTGGTACTAAAAAGACTAATTTTGGAAAATACTCATGTAATTTGATGAATTCAGATATTTGAAGATGAATTTAGGATCCATTTTAAGAAGGGGTTTCTTAATGGCCAGTATGAAAAGGAGGGATGATTACAGCAAGCAAAACCTTTTTTAACGTACATGGTCACCTGATTAAGACAGATTAGAAAACTTGTGAACTTATGCTTAAAGCAACAGCAGCACTTAGAGTTAAATGCTACAAACATCAGCATTCGTCTTCTTACTGGCAATGTTGATTCGCTGATGTTTCACAACAGATATTTTCTTTTACCATGTTTGACATCTTAGTTCAATTTGTTAGCACGACAATATTTGCTGATTTGCAGTGACCATGAATACAGCTGAGGTGGATGGGAATCATCACTTTTACAGAAACCATAATTCTCAGTCATACAGTAGTGCTATTGGAAAGGTCAGGGATGTACCAAAGTATTTGAAACAAGTCATTTGGGAATCGTGAATGTCTGTACAAAATTGTGTCAATCCATCAAGTACTGTAGATGTGGAGATATTTAGCTGGCTAAGTGAAACTGCTGACCTGTGTGTTTAAGGGTCCCATTTAAATGACGTTTTATTTACTGTAGGTATTCTTCAGAAACACTGCTGCTGCTCTATGAAAAATCCATAGCTGGTGCTCTATTAAAAGTCAAGGGATTATTAGGCTTCATCCTCTGGTAACCATGAATGTGCGAACCAAATTTTATGCCAGTATGTCAACTTCATATTGGCGCTACAGGAAAAGTCTGGGTCCCACTAAAGTCATTAGGATTAACTGTCTGAGGACATGAATGTCTGTACCAAATTTCCTGGCAGCCCATCCAATAGCTGAGATATTTCGGCCTGGATTAATGTGGAGGGTCAACAGACCAACACTGTCATTCACAGAGCCAATAACACTGCATGGCTAAAAAGAAAAAGACACTAATATTTCACTGTACAGGGGCTGTTTTATATATCATTATAGTCAGCTATAGAATTCCTTTTTGATCAATTTTCTAATTACCTATGAATAATAATATCTGGCAATCATGGAGAGGTATTGCCATTTTGCTCCGTAATTAAGTCAAACTGCAAATGAACCCATTCTGGTGGTCTCATACCGCAGCACAGCAGAGCCCTGAGCAGCATCCTCCACCCCACACAGTACTGATTAGGCCTGTCACTAACCCCCAGACAAAATAATGAGAAAGACAAAATGAAGGGCAATTCAGGTATGCACTGCTACTAAGGAGGCCTGAAAACGTGCTCATCAGAGGAATATATGCCTGGTTATGGTGCAGAGGGAAAGATAGCACGACCCCTTGCTGTGGGAGACTCGCAACAGGGGAAATTGGCTGGCTGTCTCCATGTCTTTACTGTCTGCACTCCATCAAAAGACAGCAGTGGGGGACCGCACACTCCCCGACTAATGATAAAACATCAAGGGCAGCATAATGTTGCTGCCGAGGATGGAGTGCATGACAGAGGCGGTGTTGATGGTGGTAGGGGGGTATCAGGGTATCAGGAAGAGATTCTCCTCTGACAGTATTTGAAGAGGAGGGTAGGCTAGATTTCTTTCCCTGTGACCGAGGGTAGCCTGATAGCTGAAATGTCAGTGTCTGGAAGAGGGAAATTGGCCATTCAGGGAAGAGGGTCTTCATAAAGGCCAGGATAGGATGTGGCACATATAATATCAGCCAAACAAGAATTCTCTATGGGCAATTTCTAGGCTGGATGACTCTGGGCTCAGCATTATGAAGGTTGAAATATGACGGTATTTTGGAGAAGCCATATTTTCAGGGAGCATTTGTATCAGAGAGGAATTTGATATGAGAAGATGTAACCATAAAGTGGAACAATGTAGGAGAAATTGTTTATCTATGCCTACTTAAGCCTGCCAGCCATCACCACAGAGGGCATGATATTTAGCTTTTCTTTTGCCTGTTAGTTTGTATTGATTTACATGACATTTTCTATGGGTAAAATTCAAAAACAGGGGTAAATGTCTTTAAAAGAGGTTCTTACAGTTTAGCTAATGAATTCTTATTGTGAAAAATGAATCTACAAACTAATGTGTGAAAGTTGTTCCTCACTAGTTGCATGATTGATAAAATCAGTGATTCACAAGGACAGTTTCACAGAAGCCTTCCATAAGAACAGGGAGACTCATGAGTTCTGTCTGCTCTTGGTATGTCTAAACCCTGTTAAACCCCATATTTCCAGTAGTCTGTGATTCTTTAGCTTCTTGTTCATGGAAGATTTATAGGTCAAAAAGTCAACTGCAGGCTAAACCATGGCGGTAAAGGCAGCATTGTTCTCCTGCCAACAGGCAGCATGTGTGAATTATAGCACCAGGTCACCTCTGAGAGAGAAAGGCCCCTCTCCAGCCAACTCTCTCTCCCACACCACACAGCAGCCTGGAGGCACGATATACGCTATTGCTGCCGACACACCCTCATGGAGGACAGCATGACAGGCCTCTTTCTCAGCTTTTCGACCGGCTACATACAAAACACGCACTACAATAGGAGTTGATTTGACATGGATTTAAACCGGCCTCGCACCTGTCTGAGCTGTCATACAGTGGAAGGTCATTAGTCTTTGTGAAATAGGAAGAGCTGGAAGGACTAGCCCCGGCAGCAGGGCGCAAAGAAAATGTATAGACAGTCCAGCTCATGTCTAGCAATAATACAAGAAAATATTTATCAAGAACAAAACAACTCATTAAAATAAACTTGGTTAATGCAGGTGGTAAAGCAAAAAGGCTTTTTGACAGGTGTGTGCAGTGATGGTAGAAAAATAGAAGACGGAAGTCAGTAGGTGGTGCAATGGATAGTTGAGGGTTATCATAGTAAGACCAATCTGTGTTGCAGAAACACACACTAATTAAGCCACTGTAGCAAGCATGATTAGTCTGGGACAACAAACCCTCACATGGACCACAACATGATTTTGTCTGGCATTATATCCTCCAGAAAGGAGGAGTGGGAGTCGCAGACATAATTATATGCGGTTATGAGCACCTTTTACCAATCTCTTGTGTCTCATTATACCGAGCTGAAGTCATAGAGCTTCCAACGCTAGTACACCAGAGGAACTGTGTTTAATGGAATTTGGTAAAATATGTGGACAGGAAGTTACTAATTGAAGAAGTCATGGCCACAGGCGCAAACTCTGATAACATAGATACTTTAAGTTTTATTTTGGACCAGAGAACATTTGCATCCCATTTATTTTCATTCAGTCTGACAAGTGTTATGAGTGCAGCAAGAAGCAAATGATACATGAAGCAGACACACATCATTGACAAGTTCTCCAATGCCCGCAGGCATTCCAAGAAAAACTTCCCAACTATAAGAATGTTATATTATTACTTTAAAGACCTGGGTTTGAGAATAGCAGGCATTCTTTCCTTACATTAAAAAACACAATCTGAGAGGATTTACTCAAAGAGAAATCAGAGAAAATCTCCGATTCAGAGGAATCTTTACACCACAATTAGGAAACTAGACGTGAGAGCCTGAATAAGTTTGCCTTGAGTGAGCTATTTGCTGGCATATGCTGTCCTTTTGTTTGGGAGTGATCATTATGGGCCCATTGGGAACAAGCAGATGTCATCATCTGCCTGGCAGAGCACAATGATGAATAACCATGGGGCGGTAGAGTTATGAGAGTCACAGGAAGCCTGTGTCACAGTGACAAAGTCGCACACGTCAGCTGGTGAAATAAACACATTACTTCTCTGAACACCAAGTAACCTGCAGAACCGCAGAAGATCAGACATATGATGATGTGAAAATCTATTTATTCCATTAACTGTGAACTGGAGTAATTTTTTTTCAAACAGCTGGAAATATTTCAGCAATGAAAAATGAATACTAGTGCTTCTCTGAATGCCTTGTATCTGAGAAGTGTGGATTAGTGAGATCTTTAAGCAACATCACAATCCACCAAACCTTTCAGGAAGCAATGATTTCAGAAGTTTCTAAAGTTGCCAGATGTAATAATTGAGGTTACTAATAAAAAAATAATAATAATTAAAAAAAACTGGATTTTTCTCGCCCCCACAACATTTTGTGTTTTTATCCTTTAATTTCTCCTGACTCTGACAGGTTTTGTGCTGCCTCCACTCAAGACCTTGTCCCTTCATTAAAATCCTATTCACTGCTTACCCTACAACTGATGAAATGGCACTGAAATCAAAACCATTACAAATGCATTCATTCTCACAAATGCACATTTTCAGCAATGCCACAAATATTTGTTCATCAGCCAAACAAAAAAAAAAAAACAGTGTTACAGTGCTGTTTTTTGACACACAGTTCATGGCTGTCAACAAGCAGACTGAGTAACAAATCAAAACAATATCGCCAGCTAGGAACCTGCAATTGACACAAAATCCACAACAAGTCCCTTGTCAACAACAGCTTTTGCTTTCAACATGACACACCTCAGCTCCTCTCCCTGATCTTTGCTGCTTTGGTTACATGTCAGGTTTACACACACAAGTGTTGGTTCCACTGGCCAAATCTAATTAATGTGCGATGAATGGGATGCTTTGTACTGCACCATGGCATATACTGTACCACCAGGGTTTGCATATCTTAAACAGAGACAGTGTGACAGTGTTTGAAAAGTATACTGACAAATGTCACAATTTAATTTCACTAGCTTTTATTTGTTGTCTCTAAACAGCATGACTCCTCACACAGAAAAAGTATAGCTGGTTTTGTGAACACTACAGGAATGTTTATTACAAACTGAGAGGAATCAACTATTTACTGGCTAAATCAATCCACACAGACTAAATGATACAGAAACATATCAATATTTATGTACAGCTAAAATAAAAATAATACTCCTCAAAAGTCTGGAGCACATGAGGAAATGTTTCCAGTGGCATTAGTGGGCCACTTTTGTGACTCTGTAATGTACAGTAGTAAGTATAAGGGTAATGCTGAGATGCAGTAATTTATCATATCTTAAAAATCCCCTCCAGACATGTTTATGACATGATGCTGCTCTGCTTTGAATGCTTAGATACTGGCTATTGTTCATTTCAGAAGCTGAACTGCTGTACCAGACAAAGACGGCTCCTTCCTCACTTAAAGGTTCATTCTGAATTTGTGTGCACTGGAGGAGAAGAGTCATCCTGGATTTCTAAACTAGTTCTGATATCTCAGAATCATGCCGTACGCACGTACATGTCTGAAGGTAAGATTCGTGCTGAGTGCAGAGAAACTTCGGTAGATAAATGTGTAAACAGCCTTACAGTGTCAGACTCTGCACAAACATCATTCAAATATCCAAGCATAGTGATAATATGTAAAACATAGTTTTGAGTGTAAGGTCCTGAACCTTAGTTTAGGCATACCCACCTACAGTAGATAGACATATTTTAGTCAGTAAGTTTAATGGACAAGCAACATGAAGAAACATTACTATTACTGATCCTCACACTAACATAACATTTTACAAGCATCCAATACTTAACCTGCACTTGGTAAGATTTCTAACTAAAAGCACATTATTTTCTCATACAGAACAGCAGATTCACCTTTACTCACTGTTTTGGGTATGGCCACTACTGGAATACAATGTTCTTGGCACACACAGGCAGAAACAAAATGAAACTTTTGAGAAAAACAGTTTGCTTTTCTAAACAGCAGGGAGAGAGTGCTCTAAGGAGAGAAAGCTAAACTCACCAACAATGGCTACACCTGCTGCAAATTTATTTTCCCCTCATCCTCATCACCCCTGCCAGCCACCAAAAATAGGAAATTATGGTTTGAATAGTGTGTACTTCACTGACGTCATGCTACCTGTTTCCTAAAGTACTTCTCGCTTTTAGAACTTCAAACAGCTCCCTCCTGCTGCTCCCCCCCAGGGATTCAAGCGCAAAGATGCCTGGTGCACCTTTAGACAGTGGAGGTGTTGGCAAAAAAAGTTTAAATTGGCAGTAGTAGTAATTGTGTTTTTGATGTATTTGATGTATTTTGGGTCTGCTTTTGTGGATGACAATGAAACATGAAAAAAAAAACATAAAAAATGCTATTAGTGTGCCATGACTGACATGGCACACTAATAGCATTTAAGGTAAAAAGAAGAAGAGGCTTCAGAGCAAGGGGAACAAACCATCTGTGGCATTTAAAGTCATGTCCTGGGAGAGACGGTCCCTCTATTGCCCTTTATTCATCGGCTGCAGAACACATTGATATTCCTCCCACTTCAGTGTGAATCAACAGAACCAAAGCCCATATTGGCCATTAAAAATGAAGTGAATAGCAAATAGTTTAGTCATAGTCCACTGTCTTATGATTTAGCTTGAACAATCTTGCTTTTAGAAATATACTGTGTGTGAACGTGACCATGCATGTCTGCATAATCCTGATCTAAGCTGGTCACACTAGTTCTCTGCTCAACCACGCTGCCCTGCACTTTGTTCCATGAAAGGATGTGATCGTGGTTTCAGAGCGGGCCAAACAATACATTGTTAGCTGAGTGATCACAAACTGTAAACAAAGTATTGAATCAATGCGGTGGGTTTGTGGTGTAATATTGTGCAAAACATATCGCGAAAATTATGATGTGTATTTCCATTCATGGCTACGCTGCCCGCTACTAACATAACAGCACACCCTGCCAGAGGTTAAACGGCATCATGGGTAAAGTAGGCACCGCATTTCGACGGGGAAGAAGAAGGTGAGGAATAAAAAAGGTGATATCTTTGGTTCTGCAGCATAGGTTTTGATCCTGTTTAGTTTTTAAATTCTCCATAGTGACAGTGTTATAGGAGTGAAATATGAAATCAGTGGAGTACTCTATTAAAGTGGCAATGGTTGGGGAGGACCTGACAATTAAGGCTGAACTGTTCTAGAGAACAGAAGAAGCAATCAAAAATGCTACCAGACTGAAATGACAACAAATGAATTTGAAGGGAAGATATTGAGAAGAAGTAAGTAAGAGCCACATTAGACTCTTTCAGAGCCACATTGTACATGCTGTCCAACCTTGACGACAATCAAAAATAATTATAGTTGTTCTGAAGGGCCACACTAGAAGATGGAGTGAAAAGCTGGCTGTCACACAGAGGGGGGAAATGTGCTATTGTTTAAAAATGGCGATAAGAGTGTACATTTTCACACAGCGTTCTCCTTGAAGTCAATCAGAGTGTTCAGTTATTCATGAAAAGTGCCCCAGGTAGTTGTGTAACAAACAGTAGAAAGAGAGAGAGATGTTCAAACAGACACTTTCTCATGACCAATCACAGCATGAAGTGGGTGTGGATGTCAGTTGTTGGTTTGGTGGGAGGGGGATTGAGAAGCTTTCCTGCCATCTTACAAGCACTTCAGAGGGAGTATACTGGTCCCTTACTGTGACA